TGCACTCTGGCTTGGCTGACAATATAATAACGATTAATTGCAAAGAAGTGTTACCTTCGAATTGTGGATGGCCGAAATCACCGGTATATCGACGAGTCATCAGCCATGACTTGACACAAATATTTCGCGAAGAGCGCAGCAATGCTATCTTCTGGTGAGAAATTTCACATCGATATTAGTAGTATACCTCTTTCTTAAGGGTTCGAGAGCGTACATTTCCACAGGCTGGTGAGAAATTCACATAATCGAAATACGCAGGGTCAACGGGATCAGCATGTGAGGCAGCTCGGGATGCAAGAACACTAGCCACCGAGATACAATTTTGCGGAGTAACATACCAGGCGGAAAGACGAGAGATGTCATGTCCGTTCAGCAATCATAAATTGTGTTCAACCCGAAAACGGGGCCTTGTCTGACTACGGAGGAGGTATAAGAAAGGGAACGAAGAAGAGCGGCGTACAAAATATGGAGAATGACTCACGGAGCCCGTGTTCTTCGGTCAGCGAATACAATAAAGACTCCGGTCCTTGAGAATGGGTACGTGTCTTCATTTTCGGTGACTTGAGACTTCAACCTTAATTGCTTACGAGGCTGACGAGGGGGGGTCTAGTCCAGGAAAATGATCGAGAAATGTAAACATTGCTTACCATGGTGGATACTCGGGTGGGATCTGCCCACGACGATGGCCGGCCGTTCTCGCTACCGGACCAAGGGTTGGGCTGCAAGGACCTTGTGTCATTGCTAGATTTTGAACAGTTAGAAAAAAAGGATTCGTAGTCATACAAAACTTACCAAATCTTTACAGGAGGGCGACATGAGTTCGTCGACCTCGTAACAATAGATTTATAGCACGGCCATCCCACCTAGATACATTTTTTCGCTGTTGTCCACCTTACGGTTAAACGGGGCGCATATGGAACGAGCACAATGGCAATCTCGCAAAAATGTCTGGATCTCGACAGACACAGAGACACATTGACATCAAAAAGTCATGTGCATTGTGGATGGATTGTATGGGTAGTGGAACTGATGCGTTGGGGCTCCCCTCACATATTGCCTACCAGCCATACTTTATAGAACAAGACTTCTAGTACCTATCAAGTTCATGAGGTTTGCACAACCACACCCAAACTTGAAGCAATACTTTTGCGAACCATAAGTTGTTGAAAATATCCGGCGGATTGTTCACTTTCAAAACGTAAACGTCAACCATCCTCGTTGTGGTCTCTTGCACTGTTGAACTGCCCCCGCCTCTCGCACACCTACCATTACCCTGAGTTGGATCTCATGGACTGAGTTTCTGCTCGACGACACTGGCAGCATCGCACTATTAAAAGCTCCATGCCGTCAAGCTTCATCTCCGGCGTGAGTGGGTTTTTCCTACATAGTATGTTCTTCAAAGTGCAAGTTAAAGTCAGATATGCTCACCTTCAGGCTTCAGAGGCTGCGTAAAAATCGTTGCATGAGACGGTGAGTAACCAGGCTTTGAATGAAAGCGGGATGACGCGCCTGTGGCGTGGGAACCATAAGGACCACATCATTTAGGGCTGGCTCCAGCTTTGTGAGCTAGCGATGTACTGTCGCCCGTGTACCTAAAATCTTGAATGTCCGATCCTATTTCTGCTCTCTGCTCTCTTCTCGTCCTCGAATATGTTGATAGATTTCATAAAACTACACGTTTATCAATATTTCTACCTTTCTTTCCGTATCTAACGGCAGAGAGAAGGCATTATGTATCTATGAAGCAATTACTTCTGAGTGAAGATTTTGTTGTATGTCCATCTTCGTCACTGCAAGTATAGTGCTCACGTCGTCTGCAGGCTTGTGGGCATTGACTCAACAATGATGGGCGAGCTACAAGGGCCAGGCCACACGCGTTTCACGAAGGACCCTGCCTTTCCTCCGCGAATCACAGTGGTACAGGCGCGATCTGTTCCACGAAACTGTTCAATTAATTCTTCGCCATTCTCCTGTAAAATTCAACCCAACCAACATGATCAACATCAATCAGGTGGACAGCATGTCCCGAGATCCCCTGGCGCGATCGACGGCTGCTTGTATCCTTTATCATTCTGACCACAATCACTCGTTGCATTTTAGGAACGTGTGCCGATGGAATATATGTCCACATCCAACCACCAGCTGGCTGCCTCGGCATCGTGACTGACCTGAATACAAGGTGATGATCATAAAATCGGCCTCTTCTATCTATATAAGCGGACGATGGCATGGCTCTTAAGTTCACGTTCACACCTTTCTGGGACTGCAACCCGCGGGATGTAAATGATTGGTCTTCATCGCACTTGCGTTCCATTACTGTTCATTGATCAACAGTGCATGCACGCGTTCCGAGCCTATCAACATGTACTGACTTCGAAAATATCTGTAGGATACATCGTTGCCAAGACATGCATTGTACATTGTTGGGCAATCAAGGTCCCCATAGCCTCATCGCCATACCTCTCAATTTTTCCGAGGAAGGGAAGAATGTTGCTACTGAGCACTGATGCGCCAAGCCTCGAACCTCGGACATTTGCCTTCCTGAACAGTTGAGCCAATTTCACGTTGGGAACCGTAAATTATATACAGGTACCTTCACTGTCGTTCCATGTACCTACCTCCTCTGATCTGTCCGTTCTCATGTTCCGTTCATCGAGTCTAACAATAATGTTACGATGTCACCTTCCTACCATGCTCATCATCAAGGAGGTTTTGCATACTAGGATCTCAGTTTGTGCATGCCGGTCGCCTCCGTACTATGATCCACTCTTATATGTGGCGGGTCAGCAGGTTGCCATCAAGGGCGGTACATGCTGCACGCTCTAGTGATTTACAGTTGCATTCTTCTTTGATTTGTTTGATTTGTGGTAATCCTGATATGTACTCTGAAACGATGGTGTTTTATAGTACGATGCCAACTGCCAATGGATCGATATCTGGGTGTGTGGTATAAAAGGCGGCGTACGAGGTGCGTATTTCTTCACTACACTACCACTACCTTTATTCAGCCCCCCCGAACATACTGCAGACATGGTATTCAACATTTCCCAGCTCCTCCGAGGCATATCTACTTCCATACGGTACGCATCGTCTCATTCCTCCTCTTCTTCCCCGGTGTTTACTCTTCCTTTCACAGCGGAAATCCATCTAGGTTCGCACTTTGATCACTTTTTTGGTTCTTTCCTCCCGTACTAAATGCTGGACAGCCTGTCGGTGTCAGGACATGGGTAGGTGAATTCCGCACTAGCCAGTCGTCTCATCGAACATTTCATATTAGGTACATCCCTCGTGGAAAGCAGACCTCCAATAGTTCGGGATCTGCAGGAAATGGAGGGGGAAAGCCTCAGACGCCCAGTGGGACGGGCAGTGGAGGGCAGACTAGCAACAGTGGGGGCTCTACGAAAAATAGCAGTTGAAAGTCGACGATGGGAGACTCCGATCCCTTCTTTTTATCCTATATTTGTCCGCTGGAAATAATTCACGTTCCTTTGCGCGTTATTATAACATACCTTATATTATTTTACTTAGTCTTTTCTTCACAGCGAGCAAATGCTTTGTGCGCTTCTCTCGATTTGTGCTACTAGATCTACTTATATTAATATAATTACATGCTTAGACGGGTATGTTGTTTCGCAAGCTTCTGTAGGGCAATGAGGAAAGGCAAACCAGGACAACGATTTCCAGATTGTAAATTGAGAGACAAGAAAATAGACTCCGCGGAAATACACGTACCTTCTACCTTCACTGTCCATCGGGCTCGGTAAAACAAAGGGTTCTCAACCGCTGTGGAGGGTTCATGTGATGTTTGTGCGTCGTGCAATGAGTTGGCAGTTGCTGCTTCATCAGATCGAGATTCGACTTCTCATTATTCAACAGATAAGCGTTGAGCTTTTACCATTCACTGAAGTACATAAACTTGTAAGTTTCAACTTTGGAGTCTCGGTCGCGCTACTTAGTGCCCACTCCTCACTCGGCCCCAGCCTTCCCCAGGGCCCCTCTTGAGTCCTCAGCCGTGATGCTGGCAAAGGCGGTCTGGAGTCATGTAGAGTCTGACGAGTACTGTTAAGTACAAGGTATGTGAAATTCCAACAACCTATGGATTATCGCGACTCAGACATAGCATCCTCGGTCATCTACGCGTGCTTCCCCGAGTCCCGTCACCAGCCATTAGCGCACGCAAACGACCACCGAGGGATGAATACAGGACAAGAACGCTAGACGTGCACCGTACACAATTTAGACCTTTTTACCTAGCGCAAAATCGTCGCAGTCAAAAAAAAAATCTCTGCATTAATTCTTGTTGCGTAGACCCGTACTTTTCCGAATCTCCTCCCAGAGATATCTCGGAAGGATCAAATATCTAATGCGAGAAAAAGGTCAGATAGTTCTTTCGGTGGAAAGGGCTCTCCATCGGCCTGATAACTTTTATAATTATGAGTGAGATGAGGATTTCTCCTAATAATCGTCCTAATCTCTGCACTCCCAAGGCTCATACGCTGGAAGGACCAGCACTGCCAGTGGTGAAATCGAGTGTCGTTGAAGCTACCTTGCCATCCACAAATCGGGGTCCCGTTGGATGAGTTGGCACTGTGACGAAAAGCATCAGCAATGGGACTGGGTAATGCAGACACGAACAACAAACCCGTCGTACAGATCAAGACACAGGTCTTTCCATCTCCACAGTGTGCACCGTATTTGTAGTGACTAGGCTTGCGCGAGTGCTGCCAGGTCCTCGCTGACGCCAACCGCCTTCTGGAGGTATACTGTTCGACCTCCCTGTACATTTAATTTTAGCCTTGTTCTTGGTATCCACGGGTCAAGTTGACCTTGGTGTCAATTTTATAATATCAGGAATGAGGGAGCATTAAGCTCTGAGATACAATACGAGCCTCGAGAATGGACTCAATCGAGCGAGCTGCGAGAAGCTGCGAGGCTCGAGCATGCCAGGTGCCTATTGCCCAGGGTAAAAAGGAAGGTTAAGGATATTATAAACCTGTGAACTCTCTGGCTGGGAGTCGAACCCAGCTTTCGCGCGCAACCCTTCTGTATCCAGATTATGACAGGCGCGTGTACTAACCGATATACTACCAGAGAATGCGATATTGTTCACGGGGAAATAAAGGAGCATGAATCTGGCGTGTCACGTGTCTCCAAGGTACGTGAAATTCCACCGACCCGACAGTCATAGAGCTCACATCTGCCCCGCTAGGCCGCCTACTCATACCAAAGTCCATTTCTCGTCGTTTCCGTAACGCGCCTCTTTGTTATCCAATCGCGTTTCTGGACCGCTGGTCGCAGTTTTTTCCCTACATATTTCCTTTGGCGCGTTTTCGTGGATCGCTGTGCAGGGATAGACGGTCTGCACACGGCTGCCCCAGTGACGATCTGTAGACCGGTCAAGCGATTTACAACAGCCAAAAGACACGCATTGGGGATCGCTGATGGCGTACATCAGGTTCTCTATGCCAATGACGATGTCTTCCAGACAATTCTTGACCACCCTATCTTTTCGTCTCGCCTTCCTTTGAGGCATTTTCGTCACCAAGAGGACAACAATGGACAGTACGGACTGCTGTCACAGTAGCAGCCAGTGCTGGGGTCATAGGGAGGGGATGGGATAGTCCAAGTACTCGCGATGGGGGGATCGCCGTAGTGATGCTACGAGTCCTCAGAGTATGATGCGCGGCTGGATGATTATGTCTGGATCGTCGTTTATGTTTTCCTGCTAGCTTCGTGAGTTATTCTATTGTGCCGTCTTTCATTCGGGACTTGACGAACCTCTATAGACGCTCGTCTGTGACCATCAAAATCCAGGGCATAAAATGAAGGTTGAGCCGTTGCTGATGAGTCTGGTATCAATTCTGATACGGCTACAGTGGCCTGGACACGTAGAAAGCACTTGTGCGTGTCCATATAGGTGAAATGCGAAGGTGGTGCAAGGTACGCGAAATAGAGCTCATCCATCCTGCCAGCGAACCATATTTCACTCTATCCCAAAGGTGACGTTTCCCATCGTTGCTCACTTCCTTCCCGTGGCGTCCCTCATTCTCATCACAGTTGTGCCTCCTCGTATTCGTCACCAGAAGTACTGCGAGGACACATCTGTTATAATAACCGGGGTCATAGACAGAAAATGCGCGACCGTACGAACGTGACACGAGATCTCGCAATGGAAGGGTCGCGTAATGGACGTGGAAGATGTAGGCTGTTCAACGCCTTCAACGTCAACCACCACCTTCTCTTCTCGTACGATTCCTGCGCATATATCCTGCTCTGAGATGCGTCTCCGTCATGCAGAGCGTACGCAGCCCATGTGCATAACCCAATTTTGCGTAGCGGAGGCTCTTTCCCTCGACGACAGGCTCACGAAACATGCATGATCACAGAGAGAAGGATCAATCTTTCTGTCCACTCGCGCGCCGTTGGAACCATGTCCCTATGCCTCTATGATTCATGGGATGTCCAGAGGAATAGGCCAGTCTTCTTTCTACGCTCCCAAGGATTCTTCGTTCATGAGGGCAAACATGACTGCAAGAGGACACGTCTCTATGAGCTCCTTCGCCGTATCGGGCCATCATTCATCTCAGTCGCATTGCGCTCAACCCGGCTTCCGTGATAAGCAAGTGATTTGCCGTCGTCATTCGAACTTGCCAGACCAAGGAGATTAGTGATGCACCCCCTTCCAAATCATTGCTGCAGGAAGCCGTTCGTTCATCTCCAGGATGACGACTGACTCACGGTGTATGTTCAGCAGAGTTACCGGAGGAAGGATATGTGCCCTTGATGCTGTCGGATGGCTTCGTAGTACCACCATCCCGCTGTCTCGAGATCTTCTACGGTCCTTGTCGCTCTCAACGCAGAGTGCCACGGAACCTGCCTAAGGTGCACACTATCTTCGGCGACAGCATTCACCCATCCCAGACCTTCGCCGCTACCTGTCGATTTTTTAGAATTGCCATCCTTCGTGTGCAGCTAGGGTGGCACCTGGTCAAGATGGAACTCTTTTCAATGGGCATTGACTGAGCAAGCACAGTATCACAGCGAAAGGGGTCTGACATACGACACCATTCCTTTGTGAGGTGTTGATTGTGGACGGGCATTTCTCCACCTGTAGGGGACACTTTGGACTGGCCTTTGAGGCTTCACGTGAGAAAAATGAAAAATATTCTGTTCCACAATCAGTGCCTCACCTTACTGGTACCTCCTGCTGGTAGCAATCGTATGACACTGGCACAGCGAACTCGCCCTTCCATAACCATCGAACATAGCGCGCCACCTGAGGACGCTTCGCCCCACGAGAGTGGAAACCGTTGGAGAAAGATCCCTGTCGGCCTTCGGTGCTAGTTATTCTGGATGGTGCTGAGTCGGAGAAATTGCTCTACTCGCACCGAGTAGGCGGAATCTGCGTCAACAAAGGCCCACATCTCTCAGCAGCCACTAACACTGTATGAAGTCGGTTCCTGGGGCGGTGGTGGTAGTATGCTCACAGCCTGACCAATTTCCTTGGCTCCTCGTATGTCCATACAGTCTCCCATGCACCAATATCTCCTCATCCTGATGCTCTTGAGAGCCATGGTCTGCGAGGTCAAGACTGATGGGATGATGTCTGCAGGTTCTGGGATCTCTGATTGAGCGGGTTGCCCTTCAATGAGAAAGTGATTGGGGAGATATCAAAGTTTTTGATTGCCTTGCATGGACTGATATACATCCAGAGATCTAGCTCCTTACTTGATGTTAGCACCCGTTACAAATATGGCTTGCTTTATGAACAGCTGAAAACCATATCATTTCCTACAAACGACAAGACGAGCTTGAAAATACTCAGGAGTCGGCGCGACCACAATGCTCGCGGGGTCCTCCCTGAAATATAAGCTTTTGCTGCGGTGAAGGGCCTGTACATCTTGAGATCCAATTTACCTTTGCGGAGTCAAATATGCATCCCCAATAATCCAATTCTAACCACGTTCGATCAGGATTTTCCACCCGGATGGCAATAGTTACCTTTACATGTAGATCATGTCCAGGGTTATGATACGCGGTGTTGTTTTCATACTGAAGTATGACCTCGGTGCACAGTAAATCCCAGAAAAAAAGTAATCATTCGTTGCGGTAACGCAGATGTCTCTATAAATACAAAATACAGACGTCATGCATAAGCGGATATGGAGAGGGGAGAGCCAGTTAGGTATACAGAGCGATGAGATGGGGATAATGTGCGTGAGGGACGTGAGATGGTGAGATGATAAACAATGGAAAGGGAGATATATGGAAAGACAGCTTTTAAAATCCTGTTTCGCCTTCAAATAACATGTTCGTAAAACTCTCAACGCCTCCATCAACAAACGAATCTCGATTAATCTTCTCCAGGAATTCATCCCACATCCTCGGGTCCAGTTCTGGTGTTGGTGAATGCGGCTGAGGATGCGTCGGGATCTCTGCCCAGGCTGCACGGCGAGCAGGGTCAACGGGAGTGCCCTTTCCAATCCGCATGCACGGTGAAGGTGTCGGCGGCGGTGTGCTCTCTGCAAAGCCGTACTGCGCAACAAGCTCAGGCAGCGTTATGGATGCCAGGCGAGGCGGTGGGAGAGGGAGGAGCTGCTGGGGCGGGTCGAGAGGCGAGCAGGGCGGAGAGGGCAGCGCAAACGTGATAAGAGGCGGTTCGTCCTCAGAGTCCGACTCCGAGTCGAGTTCCCAATCGAATATCTCCTCCGTGAGGTAATCTTCTTCCTCCCGAGGCGTGTGGTGCCGTCGAGCATCCTGCGTGACAAGGTCCCGGATAATGCTGGGTGTGTATTGGTGTGTACTGCTCATCGTCAGCGACAGCGAGCACGATAAGAGTCAGCAGTTGCTTACATATGATCCACTCGTCGCCTGCACGCAAACCGCCAGATATCCAGCTCTGTCTTTTTGCGCGAGTGGGGGATAAGCCATTCGTCGTCATCGTCATCGTCCGACTCGGAGTCGTCTTCAGCGTCGGCTTCGACCTCCATCTCGTCGTCGTCTTTCTTTTCAAAAGTGATGGCAGTGTGGTAGCTGCGAGCGAAGGGTTTCTCGATGATAAATTGGATGGGGGACGAGCAAGTGGAAGTCGTCGGCGTTGTCGGTGTTGTCGGCGTGGGAGTGGGTTCGAGCGTCGTCTTCGACGTCGACGCTGCAGGCTGCTGCCTGTCTACGTTGATGTCGACGTCGACAACCATAGACTGAGGCTTCTCGACAGGCGGCGGCGGCGGCGGTGGTGGTGGTGGGGGAGGCGGAGAATCGCTCTCCCGGCTCTTCCTCCGCTTCGCTGCCGGCTGCCTGAAAAGCTGGTCATCATCCACAACATCGTCAAGAGCCTTCTTCCTCTTGCTCGTCGTCTCCCTCGACTCAACCTGTACCTGTACCTGCAGCTGCTGCCGTTTGAGGAACCTCAGCGCTCTAGGCGACTGCTGGCCCTTCTTGACTGGGCCTTTCTTCACAGGCTGCAAAAGGCGAGCACTCCTTCGTGGCTCGAAAAGAGGCGCGAAAAGCGACATAGACATGCCTTCGTATCGAATTCGGTAACCTAGAACGGAGGCAAACGGACGGATTCGGTTTTGGCTGGATGAGGAAAAAGACAAACTGGACGACTGAATCAAAAGAAGGGAAGCGATGGTTGGTCGCCACGTGCTGATGACTAACACGGCATCATCCTTTAACCGGGTGGCCTAGATCCGGCCGTTGCCAAGGCCAAGGTATGACGCATACCTTGCGCAATACCGTCCCCGACTCGGACTGGCATTGCGCACAATGCTCAGGGAGTGGACGAGCAACAGAAAAATGTATTCTAAAAAACCCGGCAAAATATCACCATCAATCATCACAGAAAGACTCCTAATCATCACGTTCCCGCTACTTCTAGCTCTTCACGTCAATCCAACATCAGGACCAAGAGAGAAAATGGGGCTTCGTTAAACATTGGCGCCCTGATCTACACCTGCTTTTGACAAATCCGTCTCTGTATTCGGACGTAACCATGTGCGACGCCAACTCGTATTCCGAGTCAAAATCCCGCGGCATCTCGACCCATCCGCCGGGCAGCAAGGCAATGTCATTGATCGACGTCGAGACAATTT